GCTATAATGCTCGTTATGATGTGTTTGAATCGATGATTTGTGTTTTCGAGGAGCTAGACATTTGGGAAATAACACAACAGAGGTCTTGGATCAATGTCCACTGGAGTCTGTGGAAAGCTGTGTGCCAATTTCAGTTGGCCTTTTTTCAACTCCTTTAAAACTTTGTGTGAATATTTGGAACCATTTTAATGGCTGTGAAACTATATTTAACTCTTCCTTTTGAGAATTTTTTTTGTCTTGAGTGCGTGCACACCCATCTAACGGTGTAGACTTCATGAGTTCTTTGGCCACTGTTCTAACTGCTATCAGTTAAAACAGAGTGGCTTTTAACACTCTTGTTTTTCTATATATACCCATAATATAATACTGAATAAAGCATTCTGGAAATAAGCAGTGTTGCTTAGACAGTATGTGCACATATTTTGTAGCACTCTGTTTAGTCTAGATGCTCCTGTCAACCTACGAAGTATAATTTAACTTTGCATCAGTCAGTACTAAGCACTTTCATTTAGCAGACACATTGCAGTTCATTTATTCATATGTTTTATTTTTCAGTTTCATTATGTTTCTTAACTCATTTTTTTGTATCTGGTTTATGAAACTCCTGTGACTTAAATATGCATATGGCCAAGTGGTTACCTTTAATTAAATTAGCATATAGTGAAAATAGCTTGTATGCAAACACAGAGCCCACAGGCATAAAGCTGTCCTACTTTTGAGCAAGAGTTTCTCTGCTATCTCGTAACTTAAACTTCTTAAAATACAGGCAAGAAAAATAAGTTCTGAAAAGCCTCTTTGGTGTGATGGGTCACTCAGAATCATTGCTGTATGTCTTATGGAGAGTTTATTTTTTGGAGATGCTGAAAACCTCAGTGTGAATTAGGTTTACAAGCCTGTAAGATCCCGTGGTCCTCACTCGGAGCCTACGAGTTCAAGGGCAGGCTGATGGAAGCCCTCCATGCAGGGTCAGCAGGATGCAAAGGAGACCTCCTCGAGCACATGATATTTTAGAGTGGGACTCTCTAAACCATTCTGTGTGGGTCTGAAATCAGTAGCATATTTATCTGATCTGTATAGCTAGACAAAATTTCAATGGTTTAAAAAATCCCATTATTCTTCAGTTCATAATCTAACATCAGTTTAAACACTTCTGAAGACTTTTTTATCATCTCTTTTGCCCAACTTTCATATGGAGATTCTTCTTCCTTTGGGAAAATTCCAAGAGAAAAGACCAAGTGCCTTGGCTTGATGATAACATCCCGATACTGAGCAGTTTTACAATGGCGTGTTCCAGTCTGAAAATTCCTTTAGCGCAGAGCTAAGCAAAGTTTTCATAACAAATAAAGGATGGGAGGAATGTTGCCTTCTCATCCCTTCTCAACTTGTCTGCAAACAAACTTCAGGTTCCTCTAACTTATTGATTGCAGTATTATTTGCTAGCCACACAGTTCAAACTATGTTTTCCAGTTTACTTTTCGATGGTGTGGAATATCTCTTACAGGGAGACGGCGAATTTGTGTTGTGAGGGAAGAATAAAAGAACAGCAAATTCCAGCTGAGGAATCTCTTGGACTTTCCTTCCCACCACATTCACACAATTGCTGCTGTTGTTGGTGATAGCCGCAGTGGGAGAGAAAGAGTAGATAGGAGCCCCTGGCCTTTCGCATGCTGTGTTGTCTAGACTTAGCAAAAATATTAGATTTTGTCATACTGCTTCCCCTCACAGTCTTACAATCACAGAAAATCTGAAGGAGAAATTGAGTGTGGACATATCTGACCCCTCCTTATTGGGTCCTAAACCCATCAAAGTTAGTGGAAAGGTATCATCAAGTCCTGATTCAAGGAGAATCATGTGTACACTTGAAATTACACTCTCATTAAAAAGGCGTATTAAAAAAAAAAAGTCTTTAACAGTTTTGACAGAATTTGACAATATACAGAAATACTTGATGTGGAGAAATATATTGCATCTAACTCATGACTGTGGTAATGTTTCTGTAGAAAAGATTCCAGACGACAGTTATTCTAACACTGCCCTGAGTAGAGCCTAGCCAAAATCTGCCTTTCCTCGGGAAGCTGGAATTCCGTAGAACAGCTGATTCCGTGCTGCTGTCCTGTCTCTGTGCCTTGGTCTCTCTCAGTCCAGTTGGCCTAACCATGGCTATGGGCCACTTCAGCCAAGGTCAAATTCAGGAACCTGCAAGAAAAGGATTTGGTAGTTGCTGCACGATTGCCCACTTTCTGCCAAAAAGTCTTCTGTCAGAGGTCAGCATTCTCAGCATTGCTTCGAAATTACTGAAGAGATTATTTTAGAAAGAATCCTTGAAAACGTCCCAAAATGGGAAGTTAGAAAGAATCCTTGAAAACGTCCCAACGTCCCAAAGTGTGAAACGGTCTGTGATTGAATGAGTGTTCAAACTGCTCGGTGACACTTCACCTTTCCTTCTTAACAGTGTCGTAAAACTGAATCTTATCAAAAAAGAAGACATCTTTCATTCACACAACATTTTTCAATTTGGAGGACCTGTCTAATGTAAAACCCAAAGGAACAGGATCTTATTGGGGAAATTCAGGGTTGTTTCTGCTGGAAGAAAGTGAATATATTTGTTAGCCAGCTACAGCATGTGAAAAATGTGCAGAAAAACACATTCAGCACAGGGTCCAGAATTCAATTCACCTTTTTATTTCCGGAATTCTCAATCCACCCTTATAATGTTAAATATAGAAATTACATTTGGGGCTGAAACTTGGTGTACATCAGGGACAGTTTCTTAGAGGAAAATGTAGAAAATCTTGTGTTCCATATGGTTTGAATCATTTATAAAATGAATCCTGCAGGAATAATTTCAGATGTGGAAACCTTTAAAATGGGGAAATAAGAAACAGATTTACTCCATTTCTGTTTTCTAGCAGAAAATAAAAATCATTTATCAGTGCCCAGTTATCAGTGCTCTCTAACAGATAAAAATTGCCTCTTGGTTAGAATCACTTATAAATTATGTGATGGCACACCGCATAAGGATTAAAATATTAGTTGTCTTTCCTGCAGGAATGTACTTTGCCGTGACCAAATGTGGTTTGATATTTGAAATATGCCAATTTCTTGCAGTGAGCAGGCAAGCTAAATTCTTATCAATGATGAAAAGCCTGTTTTATTCTCTTATTGACCAAGGCAATTTTATCCTTCATTTAGAATGTTAAGTAGATGAGAGATATTAGTTATGATTTTGAAGAGTGAGCAAGTTGTTTATAAGAATATTTTATATTACTTTATATTATCATTTAGGCATTGATTATTATCAATTAGATGCTCCCAAGTCATAATATGAAAGCTCTTTTATTGCCAGAATTTAGAGCCTGGTATGATCTTGTGAGCAGTTGCAGTAGGTTCCCATGAGAGATGCTTAAATTGCGGAGATGCTGTTGTGATGATGCTGTTGATCTTTTTCTATCCATCTGGAAAAAGACAGAAGTGAATTTCATTTAAAAAAAGGCATGGTGTCTGATTGCAGTGTTGAGAATCGTCTGGTAAATCCTTTTAACAGGAATGCACTTAAATTGAATTTTAGCATTAGCAAAGTAAACAGTTAAAGCTGTGAAAATTTCACATGTAACTTCCTATTTCCATTTGCTTTACCCTTTTTATTGAATTTTCCTCATGGGAAACAGTTCTGAAAGTTTCAGAAAATTCCACAGATCTTTAAGAAATACCATCTTGGTCTTGGATATTGAAATTGCTCTTTCTGGTATAATTGGCATTCTGGACTTAGGAGCTCAGGCAAAAGCAAAGCATCAATTTCAGAAGGGATTATGTGATGCATGTCTAAAATATCTGCATTTTCAAAGAATGCTTTTTGAGGAAGGAGGTGGAATCGTGATCTGGGAGGACTTAGATGTTGGGCAAGATGGTTTGCAGTTGACATTTGTTTGTCTGCACGTACTTTTCTGAAGCAAAAGAGATATGTGGCCCTCATGGGATGTCAATTTTGGCAGAAGGGTGTTGGCACATTGTAGAACCTTGCTGATCTGAAACAAAAATTTGTATCTAGTATTACATATATAATGCAGTAGAATCACCTGATGAAACAACTCGGTTCTCAACTTGGTAAAAAGGAGTGTTTATTATAACATATTTCACACACACACAAAAAAGAAATGAACTAAAATTGTAACTGATTAATGAGCTGTATGGAAATGTTTCCTCAGTGCCACCCATGTTTCTCTGGCCCTGATCCTGGAAACACTTCATCACATGTGGAGTTTTATGCATAGATGCTGTGTGAAAAATACAGCATTGTTTTCCCATGCTTACTCCCTTCTTTTAAGGATACAATAAGGAAAACGTAAAGACACTTGCTTTCACTGACCACTTTTATCTTGTATGAACCAATAAAATTTAAACTGTCTGTATCATGACGGGTTGCTAGGAATTGTTTATTGAATGGTGGTGGTGCTAAAATGTTTAGAAGTTTATACTGATGCACCATAATGTCCTTGGGTCCTTTGTCCTTTTCCTTTTTACTTCGAAAACCTTAAATCTAGATTCCCTGGCTGTTAATTTTGGTTTTGAAAAAAAAAAAAAAATCTTAAGCATGTTTCCTTGCCTACTGTACGCACTTGGAAATTCCATCTTTCGGAAGCATTTGCTTTTTGTCTGAGGCTATATAGGTTATAAGTATATGTGTGTACACATTACAGAAATACGGATTAATATTGCCTCTTAAATCAATCCTGGCACAGTATGAAGGTGTTATGCTGACAACCTGACCGACTGAAGCATTCTTGTTCTGTGTGTTACCAAACATGAAATGTGGTCACCTCCAAAGGGAAGTAAAGTATATTTTAATCGAGAACAGTTATTCCTGTATCTGCAATAAAACTACTTTGTTGGAGAACATTTCAATCTCTCTAGAGTCTTTGGAGGGAGACCAGTTTAAGGGCTTGCATGTTGCAGTTGTAAAGGCTTGACGGCCTTTCCTCTAATTTGTGTTTGCTTTTTAGTCAGGTTTAATAAGGACACAGAAGATCGAATTCCTTATATCTCCATTACCTCAGCAGCTAGCAAAGGAGCACAACTACACCTCACCTCCTGGACACCACCCACACGTGTTGTATAAACGGACAGCAGAAGAGAAGGTGCATCAGTACACAGTAGAGTCCAATCCCAAATACTTTCCCCTTCGTCATCACAGAACTCACTCTTCCCACAAGTCTCATGCTCAAGCAAATGGTTACCACCATGGAAGGTTTCAAAAGCAACATTTTTGTGGACGTCGCAAGAAATGTATGTAAGGAAACTTTATCTCCTTGTTAGAGATATAGTGGCTATTAGAGACTGTGTGGTGATTCTTTGGTGTGGTTTGTAGTCACCTTTTGTGATGAAGATGCTATGATTTTAAATATTAAGGCTATAAAGGGAAATAGATATGAGTAACCTGACTACTCTAATTTAAGCCATCATGCTTGTAAGCTATCAGTGATTCTGATAGCGTAATAACTTATTCTCCACCTAAATTAAAAGATTCTTTGCTTGACTTTTTCTTGAAACTGAGCTAGGCTTCAGTAAGCCAACCTGTTTCAGATGGCCACTTTTGCACAGTTATGGATGTCGGGTCCCTGAACTCTTCTGGTTTAGGATATGTTATTAATTAGGCTTGAGAATGGAGGAAAAGCCTTTGGAGTCATTGAGTTCCGACAGGATGCAGGGTATGTCTTTGAGAACTCACCATTTGCTAATGAAATTTTCAGCAACTGAGATCTTCAAAATGAGCCTCCCACATAAATTGCTTAAATAAAATTTTGTAGCCAACTTTTAAAAAAACTTATTGGAATATGTTATCCTGCCAAGGTCTATTCTGAGTCCTTAACTAGGCCTTCAAATTGCACAACTTTTCAGAGGCCCCTTGGAGCCCGTAGCTGTTCTTATAGCATTCAGCTGATTCCGTTTGAAAGCTGATCTGCTTCTGGATTGAGTTTCTTAATGAGAGTCTCCAGGACTGCACACAGTATTGAAAACGTTGTCTCAGGCTATATATGTCCAACCACCTACCTGAGTCCTGAGAAAATGAGCGGCTTGCTTCTAAAAACTATGTAGGAAAGAGGGAAGAAAATAAATAGTAGGAAGGAGAAAGGAGGTAGCAGAAAAGGTGCCTAAGACTGACGCTGTCTGAGGGTATGAGGTTTTAGCTGGAGTTTCAATCGAGGTTTATATTAAATGAAGAACACACAGGTTGCACCATAAATAGTAGGAAGGAGAAAGGAGGTTAAATTGGAGAGGAAAAGGAGATTAAATGAAGAACACACAAGTTGCACCCAACAGTGAAGAGTTTAATAGAAGTGATTTACCGGTTGTCACTTAAGCACTTCGTGTCAGAAGCACTGTTAAAATCCATTTAAATAAGGTAGCATTTAACTACCTTAACCACAAAACTCCTCCTTTCCACGTCCTGCAGTTTTCTACTTCAAACAGTACATACCTGTGACTGTCTGAAACAAGAGAGAGGAATTGTAAAAAAAACAGCAGCTTTTTAACTAGCTTTCATTAAAGCGTAGAACAGGTATAGCTCATATTCATTAAATGAATGCAGTCTTACAAATAAAATCACATGATTGTTTAATTGAGTAGGTCAAACAATGGTTATAGAAGGAAAGATAGACGGGGGGTTGTCTTTACATGAGTGCTAAGATTATTTGAAGCTCAAGGGAAAGCTTCTCCTTTTTGTGGTTTTTGCATTTTTCTCTGGTCTTATTCTGAGATCAGGAGTCAGTCTGAGATCTTGAGGAAGATCAGTTTGGACATCTGGAAGAGCAAATTTCAGCCTGAATGACCGAAAGCCTCAGAGCTGAGGACGCAGCGCTGCGGAAGGGAGGCTCCTCTCGTTAACGCTGCCTGTCTCCAGGTTAATTCATCCTGAGCTAACAGTGCGAACGAGTTTGCTGCTCAGCAGGAGTTGAGTGCATGGGCACTTCTAATGGCATAAGAACCTGGTGCACTCACCATCTTTTAAAATTTCATGTACCAGCAGTCTGTAAGCACTAGAGAAGCCTTTTAATCATCTTTCAAACCCTTCCTGACAATCTACATGTTTTTTAGATCATACAAACTGAATGGACTGTAGTCACTGAATCATACTTGAAAGATACTGCTGCTGCTCATGTTTTATTAGTAGCTGAGAAGTGAATTGCAGAGCAAAGCTACGCTGCTTGTCAGTGATCAGTCTACAGGATATGTGAATATGAACACAGTTTTTTGAGTTAAGTGCCTTCAGGTTGTTTTGCCTTCAAAACAGTACATGAAAAGTGATGTCCATTGAACTGCACACTTCATTCTTGGGTGAGGAGTGTCAGCATGTTTTCAGAAGAGAAGTTCTTTAAGCTTGTAAAGGAAAATTGTTTATAATGAATTTTACGTTTAAAAATCTTGCTCATACAGGGACTTGTAGCATAAATATATTTCAGAGTGACTCAGTTCTTTGAAAGCAGATACTGTTGTCTATTCTATGATATTCTTGACTTCAGAGTAGGAAGGAGGCAGCTACAGTTTCAGCCCTGCCATTTGAATATCTTTTTGATGAAGCACAGGCAGGACTTACTAGTTATCTGACTCCCTCACTCATGTTACATCCCTATGTAAAAAAAAAAAAAAAAAAACCCTACTGTTATCCAAATAATATGTTAAGTGACCTTTCAGTTAATTCTTGATGCCAAGCAAACACAGGTATATACAAAAGAAGCTAAGAGAATTATAGGTTATAGCTTTCTTTCCCTTTTTCTGTCTCTGTGTGGCTCTGAGTGAGTCCATTTTTTAAACATGCAGTTACACAAACACAGAGAGAAAAGTGCACTATCTCATAGACTTGATTGCTGTTTCCTGACACTTCCTATACTAAATAAATATATCCCCAGCAGGGATAATCTCAATGACAAAATTGCATAGAAGGCTAATGTCAATCACACAGCAGGCAGGAATCCCAGGCAGGAATCTTGGTTTTGGCGTGCATCTCCTTGCTGTGCTCATGGTGGACATCTGTTGTGAAAGGGAGTTTTTGAACCATGTGCTGGATAAGTAGCACATGTCAAACACCTCAGAAAGTTGCCAACTGGACAAAACAAGGGTTAGAATTTCTGTGTACATCTTTTGCTGTAAATGCTGTGATTTTATTAGATTAATTCCTTGAACTGTTTATTGCATACAAATGTGCTATAGGTATCCCTGTAACTATCAAGAATGAATTGGATCTTATTTACTAAGTGTGTTAGAATGTCTGACCAGTATTAGATCAAATGTATATAAATAATCTAAGGCTCTAAACCTGTATTATTTAATTATCTGCTAAAACTGCTTAAGGGTGATCTGGATCCTTTCCAAAAGTGAACTTTATTTCCTTTTAGATGCACCGAAACCACCCACAGAAGAGACATACATTCGCTCAGATGAATATGGGACTTCTCCAAGGTTCAAAAGATCATCTGCTAAAATTCAGAAAAACGGGAGTCTAAATGTTGAAACCCTTGTTGTGGCAGATAAAAAAATGCTGGAGAAACATGGCAAGGAAAATGTAACTACTTATATCTTAACAGTTATGAATATGGTAAGATCTGATGTAACTGAAGTATGCCCTTCCCTGTGGAATACTGGTGTGTCAAAGTAGTATCTGTCATCAGACAGACAGCGATAGCCAAAAGAACATGCACACTTTAGATTAAAAAAAAAAAAAAAAAAAAAAAAAAAAAAGCTCTTCATCAATCCTGGTCCTGTTATTTATGCTTAAAAATTGCTTAAAAATACATCCTTAAATTGCCTTGGCTATGGCAATAGTGCTACAGATAAAACACAGGAATGTCTGGATAGTATTTTAAATATTTCTTTCACAGTACAAAGAAAACAGGTACTCGTATTGAAAGTTTCATTTCTCTCAGTATTATAGAAGCTTTACTTTGTTTCACTTGATGTCACTCCTTTGAAACAAAAATTTCTAAGACAGCATGTATTTATGCTGAGAAACACAATTTAACCGGAAATATTCCTTCCGTTAGGATTTCCTCCTCTTTAGTTTTGTATTGCAAAAACCTAAACTTGATTACACTTAATCCAGAAGAACAAGGACAGAACAAAGCCCAGTGAAATCAATAGAAGTTTTTAAAGTTTTTTGAATAAGTGCTGTGGTTTGGGGCATAATTCTTCTGGGTTAAGCTCTTTTGAATTAATCCTACAAGGCATATAATTACAGTAATTTGTATTGAAAATTGAAGTCCAATGTAATAATCCAATACATCTAGTCAATTGTTTTAAAAATATATATAATATATATACACATAAGCAATATTTCCTGCTTCTATAATCATTACAGGTTTCCAGTCTATTTAAAGATGGAACAATTGGAAGCGACATAAATATTATCGTTGTGAGCCTCCTTCTTTTGGAACAAGAGCCTGTAAGTTGCATAATTATTATTAATGCTCTTCATTTGATACTCTTCACAAGGAGGAGTAGACTTTCATTGGAGGTCGTTTAGGACGTGAAGCACAAGAGAAAAACTGATATCACAGTAACCTGCAAAGTCACATTTTCTACATTTCACTGCTTCTACTTTTTTGATTGTAATCCTAATTTTGATTAAAATATTCTTGAGACATTTTGAAATGCTTCCACTAACAACTCCCTGCCTGTTCTTGAAGGGAGATGGCTGGAATGAGAAGTCTACTTAAGAAGTATCTAAATAAATATAAAGATTTTGAAGTGGGTCTAAGTAAGAATAGCTTTCCACAGTATCAGGAGAAAGGAGTCAAAAGTCCCAAACTGAAGACAGCATGTCAACAAAGGTGGGAATCGAGCCTATTCTTTGGGCAATGACAGTGAAAGTTTGATAAAACTAAATATGCATTTGTCAGGGGGTCACCGTAACTGGATAATGTTGTTCCTGCACAGAAATTTCTGAACATTTTAAGCAAAAGGCTGAAAATATTCTAGCTTTTATAACAACCAAATATATTTGGGCACAGTAAGGAACTGGTGAAATCCTTTCATTATAGCTTAACTCCAATCGCTAGCTTTGAAAATAACTATGTGTCTGGGAGAGGTTCAGTTTTATTTTATAACTGTGATTCATTGATCAACAGAATTGGTCATCACAGTTAACATGAGAATGCAGAAATTAATATGCAACAAATATGAAAAAATAACTTCCTTTTCCCTACTCATCTCTTCTTCCTTCCTTTACTTTCCTCAAGTACTGGTGAAAGCACCTTATTTCTGTGTCTGTGAAATACCTACAGGGTGGATTATTGATTAACCACCATGCGGACCAGTCTCTGAACAGCTTTTGCCAATGGCAGTCTGCCCTGGTTGGGAAGAACGGAAAGCGCCATGACCACGCCATCCTGCTCACGGGTTTCGATATCTGCTCTTGGAAAAATGAGCCCTGTGATACTTTAGGTATGGTATGTACATTTGTTCTGAGAAACTCATGGATCTCAACAGCAGCGTGTTGATTAATAAAACCAAAATGCTTCAGAATAAAGACCATTTTTTCCCATAACCATATTTTTCTTATAGATTGCAGAACAGTATTAACATTGCATGTTTTCCTTTGAGATGCTTAGAAGAAAGAAAGAATTACTGGTATCTTTATTCGAGCAAAAATGGCAAAACAAGCTTTCAGAAGACATCCTTCTGGACTGTCACCTTTTCAAGGATTATCTGTGATTCTGAAAATAATTCTGGGCCACTCTGACTTTTGTTTTTCTGTGACTACATGATTCTTTGTGAATCCATAATTTGGGACCAATAGGGACATGAATGGAGAAAGAATAATGTTTACTGGAAAAATGAATTTCTTTTGTGTTAGTTTTGATTTGCATATACTCCTTATACAAGAATCTTTTTATTATCAAATATAAATGTGGTGAAATTCTTTCTTGATAAAACTATAAAGTAGAAAACTATCTTCCTTTATCACAACAGACAAGTACTGATCTATTAACAATCTCTTTTAATGCTTCCTTCCTCCAGGATTTGCCCCTATTAGTGGCATGTGCAGTAAATACCGTAGCTGCACCATCAATGAAGATACTGGCCTTGGACTGGCTTTTACAATTGCTCATGAATCTGGACACAAGTAAGTTATTTTTCATGATTCTTACATTCTCTTTCCATAAATAGGTATGTAAATGAATGGAAACACAGTATAAATTATTGCTGATTTACAGAGCAATATAATTGTTAGAGTATATAAAGCTTCCCATTAGTGCATTGGTTTTTATTAAATATCATCTCTTCAGCAATCAAAAATAACCACCATGGGATTCTCATCCATTTTGTTGCCATAGGTGGAGAGACCCTACTCTGACACAGGTACATCATCATTGCTCCTGCTTCGGCAGGAAGCTACACACAAAATCAGGTCAAACAGAAATCAAGACACTCCACTTACTTAGAGATGTGTCCTGTAGAATTAAGTGCTGAATTGGCTTCTTGTGGTTCTTTTCATTTTATTTTTTTGCCATTATGAGTACTCCAGTAAATAATCAGAGCAAACAGAAAGAGCTGACAATCATGATCCCAGCGTTCCCATGCCGGTATCATGTGCCGGAAGACAATTGCTCCTAGCAGTAGTGTGGTTGCTCCAAAAAGAGAAGGGCCACAGCAGCTTGCAGTGTGGAGACGCAAGATCTCTGAGTCTCTCCAAGGTGTCTCTCACAGAGGACTGTGTGTTTCACAGGATCTTGGATTCATTCATCCCATTCAAATCCTCCTTCTGCATATATTATGTTCATTGATTTTCTGTTTGATTTCTGTGGTAGTTAGACTGTCATTTTTCTAAGAACTGTTGTCTCTAAATAAATCAGTAAGAGTCTTCCATGGAACCTCAGCTACTCTCTGAATTGTTCATTAAGATTTAATGAAGGTGGTTAGGTTTCGCTGTTCTTTTTTCCAAATGACTGAATTACTTTTTCACAACTTCTTGCATGTTTTTGATTTTCAGTTCAATCACAGCTCCAACACAATTCTTTCTAACCACTGGCAGTACAGAAGCATAGCTTCTCTCTGTGGTGCAGATCACAAACATGAAGGGGTTACAGAAGGTGTTAGAGAAACCGTGGGCACAGGATCGTTACTTTCTGCAGCAAATACCTTTCTGAAAGGCAGTGCTACTGTCTTCTGCTGTTTAGTCAAGGCATGAATCCTTCCGATTCTGCATGACTGCATCAGCACTATTTGGCTTTCATTGTGCAGATATGCTTTACAGTATATACTATGACCTAATGTCTACATGAGTGACCCTTTCACAGGTTTCTGTATATCTGAAGGGAAACAAGGAATTAAAGAATAATCCAGCTACCAGTGAAGTCCATGGGAACTGTGCCAGCGCTTTCATTGGGACCAAATAAGTAAAATACCTATGGCTTGATGCTCATGTTACACTAATGCAATTTCACTGACCTCAGTAAATTTTTTTAATTCCCTTCCATCAGTGTTAGGAGAGAATCAGGTCCATAGATTATTTTTCAAGAATTATCTCCCTTAGTCTCCAAGTTGCCTGCCTTCCTCTTCATCTTTTTCCTATTTTCTTTGAGAAAATTATATAGTAATTATATATCTTTTTTTTCGGATTTTTTGTGTTGTTGGATTTTTTCTTTTCCACCACTGCCATTTTATTCAGCCTGTCCTTGCTTTACTTATATGTTCCTGTATCGTACTCTTCCATCTTTTCTAAAAGAATACATTTTGTCTCAAATACCTGTCACAGATACAAAACATCTTTGCTCAGACTGTGTGTTTTGAGATGGTTGATCTATAGGCAGTATACAACTATGACTGAAAATAAAGTCCACTAGTGCTTTACCTCCATCCATCTCCATGGGACTCTCTCTGTACATGCCCTAAATGTGCATCTTCCCTTTGCAAGGGTTAACAACAACTAGCAAGGTCTTTCTTGATTCGAAGGGCAGAAATGGTGCTATTATCATTCTCTTTATTGTGCATTGATATCAACAAGAGGTACATGCTCAAGCAACACAGTTGTTCCCAAAACATTCAGAAAATTACATAGAAGCTTAATGTAAAAACACTGCTTGAAATAATTACAAGGAAAACTGGGTTGTGATGTGCTTTGACGGACTTAATTTTAACATTAATCTGCTAATGAAAAGGTTTCTGTGTTTATGATCTAGTGGATGAAAAAATGAAAAATAGTATCATTGTGGCTATTACTGTAAATGACACAAAGAAATTCTTTACCCATCCCTAACTATGTCATTGGCACAATGCACAAAATGACTTGATACAAATATTCTGTCACACTGTGGACTGTTCAGTTATTGCTGTGATATATGGGGCAACAGAGCTAGCTTTAATTCTTTGTGGTACATTATGGTGGTTATTTAGTTCATCAGGGGGCTTTTGTCAGCTTTGATTCATTTGCTGGCAGAAGAGAAAATTCTTCTGGAAGCAAGAAGCTAAGTTACTGGGCAGGATTAGGAGATGGAAGGGCACATGGAATAAAAATGTCTTCAAGGTAATTTCTCTAATGCAATTATCTATAGGAGTCATTAATCACAAGGTTTTTGTTTGTTTCTGTTTTAATAAGATACTCCATGTATTGTTTGTGTGACAATATGGTTCCTAGAGTATAAACCTGATTTGGGCATTGATTTGTATATTATTGTTCCATTCGACTAACGCTGCAAAGACCAAGAGCTACTTTTGACTTTGAGCTCCTATAATATGCCTGTGTTACGACAGCATTGCAAGGAACTTGGCATCCATTTATCTGTAGGGGAGGCACTGTGGACAGTGGCGTGTTAGTTTGCCTCCTGTTAGCCCAAGCAGTTCCTTCCAAGAGCTGCATCATTAGCAGTGAGCAAGATGACTCCAAGTAACCTCCATTCTTGGCTTATTCTGTGATGACCAACAAGGCAGCCAAGTACAACAGTGATTTTTATAATGTGAGGTGAAACATTGTGATGACTGAATGCATCCACTCATTTCAGAGGCACCACAAAACAGCTCCTAGATAATAACTTTCATTGGCAATGCATGATACAATAAACAGGCAGAATGTAATGACAGAGAAGTTGTTTAACTAGAAAATGTCTCTCAGCCTGCAGCTCTGGTATCTGTGTGCCAGTGACACTGCAGAGCTCCTGCGCGTCACCAATTTCTTGTATGTATGATGGCAACAGCACTTGAATGATATTAGCAGGAGCTCTTTTCATACTAGTAGTCATTTGTATGTTGGTTTGTGCTTATGTTTCCATCCCCGTGTGGAATACAAGGATAGAGATGTTTCTCACTGAGTTCCTTCTCCTCAGATTGTGTCTTGCTTGTGCTCCTTGTAGAAAAGCTGAGGGTAATATTATGTCTCCCACCCTCACAGGAAACAATGGAGTGTTTTCTTGGTCCGTGTGCAGCAGGCAGTATCTCAACAAATTTCTCAGGTAGGTTAGATGTAAATCTGGGCTAGTGCCAGGGAATGTGTCTTAGTAGCAGGGCATGAACTATGGAAAAGCCATAAAAATTACTAAAGTGTGAAATTTACTTCTTTTAAAATGTGCTAAAACCAATGTACTATTTGAGCCTACACACTTGAACTTATGAGGCGTATAAGTGGTATGCTGTGTATGCAAAATGTCTTTGTCCTGCCTCTTTTTAGAAGAATGAATTTCACCCTCCATGAATATCCTGCAGTAATGACTGGCATGCCATTCTTTCCCAGGCATT